CCAGCTCACGATCAGCAAACACTCGCAAAGATTTCAGTGTTCACTTGTTTTCAAAAGAGCACAGAAATTCCCCATAGTTGGCATGTTCCAGAGTCCAGCAGACAGGATTTTGCACTGTTCAGTGTTGCACAGATAACAAGGGGAATCCAGAGTCCTGGATGACAGTGGCTTGCATATGCACCAACAGCTTGTTACTCTTCGGCTGATAAACTGAAGTGTGGGTTTATGAGCTTGATGGGCCATCCATCTTAAGATTCAGGCTAAGGAGAACACATGTTCTGCTGCAGACACGCTCATTTTCATGTGGAAGCTTTCTTGAGGAAAACAAACCAAAATGAAAAAACCTGGCCAAAGCAGTTCCTTTTCGAAGTGAAGCAGAGTTCACCATGCCCTGATGAAGAACATCAGGTTGAGAAACCTAAATGAGTTCAGTTTTGTTTCCAAAATAATGCTATTTCCCTTTAATCAGAGAGATGTAAAACAGGTTTAGCTCTGCAAACTCATCCCAGAAACATTCTCATTATGTACAACACAGAGATGAATCACCACCCTGGCAGATTTTAGTTCTTGTACAAATTGCTTTGCAAGACTGGAGCTAGAACGGCAGGGTTTGTGCTTCTTTCCCTTGGTGGTATGAAGGATAACAAAGCAAAATATGAGTCTGTTACATTTTCTTCCCCTCCACCCCCTTGTTTCTTTTGAATTTAAGCTATCCTTCCTCAGCTTGCTGCAGAATGCACTGCAGTGGCTGTTGTGTTAAATTATCAGCAAGAACCTGATAATTGTTGGTGTCTGTGAGCTGGCAATAAACATTTATTGTTTATTGTGCTAGCTGTGTATTTAACTTCAAGCCAGGAGGAACATTGGAGAAGTATTTCCTTATTGATTAGACCAGAAGTTCTTCTGAACATTCTGGGATTGCTTTCAGAAAATGTCACCCAAAGAGAGAGACTCAACAGTTCATGTGGTTTGGGGTTACCAGATCAAGAAAAACATGAGAACATAATTGTTAATGTTTTCCCATGTTTTGAACCACATACCTCAGAAACACATGTTGTATTTGTCATGGGGGAAGTAGACTTCTCATGCTACCGTCAAGGTGTGACAGCTCTTTTTCCAAAGGCACAGTTTGGAGCACTTAATGTGGCAGGCTAAGGAAAGACTAGATATGGTGATTCAAACTTTTGGTTCAACTTACTGCTGAGCAAGGGAGTTTATTTCCTTATGTGTGAAGCACAGACAGTGTTTACGCTTTTGCAAACTGGAAAATGTGTGAGGGAGTAAAATTAGGAAGGCAGGAAACTGGAGGCACTCTTAGTCCTGGATCTCTAATGAAGTCCATCATCTTCCCTTTGGCTGCAGTCAGCAACAGGATATGTGTTTAGATGGTGCAATATGAGAGGTAGTCATGTTATCTCTAAACTGAGTTAGCTTTAATAGCAAAGTAATAAATCTGCATCATTATTGTACACTGTCTTAGCTAATTATCTTGCTAATAAGCAACAGTGAGCTATGTACTGGCATGGGTGGGCTCTTTTTGGTCTCTAAATTAACTCAGGTGGACTTCTCACACAGCAGGGAGGCCCTTACTATCATTTTCCAGTAGTTCCATATTACTGCATTCACTGTGAGTAGTCAGACTCTCAGAAATCATTGCTGACTGATACACAAAGCACTGTAAATAGAAGCAACTGCTCTTCCTCTGCTTGAGATAAGCATAAAAACATGGGTCCTTTTGCCTGTTTCGGATAGGAAGGCCTTATTTTAAGACAAAATTGCTCAGAAAATTGCCAGCTAGAATGAGTTTTCAAGAGCGGATGGAGTATATCTTCCAACAAACCCTTTCATTGTGTTCATTGGTGTACTCCCAGATGGTAGAAGAGCTGAAGAAGGGACTAGCACAAAAGTGTTACAGGGTCCTGCTGGTATTCAAGGATACACTTGCATAAACACACATTTCTAACAAGGGCATTTTAACTCTTAAACAGCCGAAACACCACTGCCATTTCTGGGGGCTGAGAAAAAAGATCTCACAAACAGCTGAATATTTTCACAGACTCACTTTGATGTCCTCCTGCTGCTTCTGTTTCTATTTTTGTTCTGATGACATGGGGGCTTTCAGCTTTCACCTGCCCTTTCTAGACTCAAGTGTTCTTGGAGTTGGTGTTGTACCTGTGAAGATTGTTTGGCCTGGAGTTCACATTTTTAAGAAAGATAATTGCAGTTAGAACAATTTATTTATGTTTTTGCTTTATAGTAAAGCAAAACAAATGCACACCATGGAAAGATAAGAAAATATTTGTGACCAGATTAGCCACTCAATTGTCAGAGTTTTCTGATCAGTTTAATCCCTCTGATTCTGGCATTTCTACAGAATTGCAAGTCTTTGTTCTGTTGGTAAAGGCACTAAGCTACTGCAGTGCTTCTGGCTGGAACAAGTTAAAATAAGTATCTCAGATATAGAAAGAGTTGCAATTATTGCTACGCAAAGCTTTTGCTACCCTTTAGCCCAGAAAGGTAAGGTGTTTGTACACTGTTGTCTTAGACTACTGATAACTGTTACTTTTCATGAAGGACAGATGAAGTCAGGGTACTGATCCCCCCCAAAACCCCATAGTGACTCTTCCATGCAGTTCTATTGCCTTATTCAGAGCTGCATATTGGTTTTCTTTCAATGTTGATTTACTATTTTTTCTCTTCTGTAAAAGTGAGAGCCACAAAATTGGCAGCTAGGTGGTTAAGCAATGCCTCCTAAAGATGTAGGCATCCTTCAAGAACATGTCTCTGCCTGCCATATAGGCAATGCCTGGCAGGCTGGGCGCGCACACAATCTGCTTCATACAGTCACCACATTTGTAACTCTACTTCAGGAAAAACACCTGGGTGAGCCCAGCAGAGGAGGGAGGCGGTGGCATGGGCAAGGTGCCACTGCACATGGCTGAGCCCCCAGCCCAGGCAATGCTCCCACCCTGGGGCAAAGGTGCTCTGACATCAGCTGCTCTTGGGAAGCGAGGCTGAGCTTTGGCAGAATGTCTGCTGCCCACTGCAGTGGTGGTGGCACACCACGTCTCGTGGTGCGCTCTGGGAAAGCGACACCTTGTTGCCCATGAGTTTTGCACTTAACCGCAACCAGTTGTACACCTAACAAAAACTGTCACCTCTAGATGCCCTTGTCATTTCACCCTTCTGCCAGAAGTTGTAAATCTTGTATCTAAGAGTAGTGAGGTCAATGCTGCTGAGCAACTTCTCTTTTGCTGTTTTAGAGGGGTGGCAGAGAGGCTGGGAGCAGGAGCATCCTCAACAGGATAAATCAAACTATGGCAGTATCATAAATTCCTCTTCCTGGCTATTTCCTTTGATACTCTGCCTGAAGTACTGTCTTTCCACCTGCACCTCCACATTGTATACTCTACCTCTAAGTCTCCTGTAAACAACCTGAGAGAAGAGTTTGGGCTAAAATACTAGGCTAGAAAATGAAATGTAGCGAAATCTTTGCTGTTGCTTTCAGTCTTCTCAGGCAGCTGTCTATTTACAGGAAAAACAAAGCAGTTAAAAAGCAGAAACTTTCTGGCATAAGGAAGAAAAAGGACACAACATAAACCTGAAAATATAGTGCAATAGCTAGAAGGGAGCAGAGATTACAAAGCAGGGGGGTGGTGAAAAGCAAACAAAGAGGAAAATTGGTTCTTATGGGCTGATAGGAAGAAAAGTAGAGCTGGAAAATCCTGATGCATTTTTCTAGTCTGATAGCAGAGGTGGTGTGGGGCCTGAGGGAAGGGAGCTGAGCACCAAGGTGTCACTTGGATAGTGGCTTTCCTGCCTACTTGCCAGGGGGAAAGGTAGGACACTTTGCGTTTTATTACTTGCATGCTCGAAGCAAACATGTTGGCAGGTTACTGGGTATCAATAATCTTAACTTGCTCAGTTCCAGAGTGAACTTCTACTGAACAGCGTGCACTGCGTTTGGGTTGTAATTGTAGTCAGGGTTGTTTGGACTGTGATAATTTTTCAGCACTACTGCTGTATACATATGGTTAGGAGCTGATACCCTACATAGTGTCAACCATGGGATGAAGTCTGTGGATGTCCAGTAGACTTTCACTGCCTACTCCATTTACATACACAATTTTAAAAGTGTCAAAGTGGGCATTTTACATTCGAAAGAGGAGACACTTTGATTTCTTTGAGCAGTAGTTGCCCCTCCAGACTTAAAACATGGAATAAATAACTTTTTTTTCCCCAGTTCTTATGCTAACACAATATGCTTTGCTCTGACATGTTATAACATAGTTATACAATTTGAGAATGAAAGTATTAGTATCCTGAACAAGCGTTTCAAAATGAAATGGTTCTGACTTTGGATCAAAAGCAGAGGTCAAATTTC